TGTTCTTTCCATATACTTCAACCACTGTTAATAATACAAAGAGAATGTGAGATTATACTGATATTTACTCAAGTCCTTGGAGGATTTAAACAGAATTTCTGTAGGACTTTTAATTTGGCAGCACTTTTCAGTGTTATATTGCAATAATTTATTTTCTGTATCTTAGAACAGAGGTCTCCAACCTTTCTGGGCTTGTGGCCCGGAGGGAAGGAGAACGGCTTCTAAATTGGTATTCACGTGAACGTGCATGCAAACAGGCCACACCCACCCACCCGGCATTAGTGGCCCCATTTGCGCATGCACAAAGAGCCGCACACACCCACCTGATGCTAGCAGCCCCATTTGCGCATGCACAAAGGGCCGTGCGCACCCGCCTGGCGCTAGCTGCCCCATTCACGCCCACACACATGCACAAACGGCTGTGGATGCTAGCATGAGTGGGGGGAGTGTGTGCATACATGTGCGCACACTGGCCAGCCATTGCTGCGGCCCAGTAGTGGGCCGCGGCCCATAGATTGGGGACCCCTGTCTTAGAAGACAGGCATTTAACCTGGTATTGTAAAAGATGAAATCAGAAAAGCTAAAGGTCATTGTGAGTTGAAGTTGGCGAAAAAAACCCTATAGATAGGTTTCTTCAAATATGTTTTTCTACAGATAGGTTTTTTTAAAAAAGAATCAGCAAGCCAGCTACTTGAAAATCAGTTTGGTGAAGGTATCAGGCTAGCAACTGGAAGATGCTGAGTTTTAATCACACAAAGGTAGTTCAGTGACTTTGGGCCAGTCACTCTCTCTCAGCTCTAGGAAGCAGGCAATGGCAAGCCACTTCCAAAATCTTTCCAAGAAAACTGCAGGGACTTGTCCTTACTGTTGCCAGGATTCAAAAACTAATTTGAAGGGACACACACATAAACACAAACACACACACATACACACACACAAAAGTAAAGTATTTGTGAACTTCATTTATCTTTCATCATTACAAAACCAATAATGTTTTCTGCCTCTATGCATATACTATGAGATTGTGTCCCAAAGATACTAAAAAAGAAATGACAGATCTGAAAGAGACTGCCTTAGAAGATCTGCAGGATAAAGACTTGAAACAAACCTTATCTGATGGAGAAAAATTAGAATATACAAATGATAAGCCAAGAGAATGATCTGGACAGTGATTTCTTACTGGCTTGTTAAAGCCCCAAAGATGAGGAAGTCATTTTTTGGGACACTGAAATCTAGATTCCTCTCAGCAAGAGATTGGACTAGATGCCTACATGCCCCCTCCTATGTCCTCTTAGCAGAGGAGTGTTGGAAACAATTATGTTTTTCGCCATTTACTGATTTCCTGTAATTATTTTCCAACTCCTTTCTCAATATTTAAATTTTTGATGAAAGATTATTATTCATAATATATAACCAAGACAAGTAGAAATCTTAAAACTCCTGCTCACAAGCAAAGAAGACTACCTGCTTTACGTGTTTATTTTCACCATTTGGTTCTAGAGCAGAGGTTAGGACAGACATGTCAAACCTGCGACGTCACATGACGTCGCGTGACGTATCGGAACTGTTTTGCCATTGTCGACAATGGGGTGGTCGCGGCTTCCGTGTGATGCGTCCGACCCACAGGCCAGCAGTTTGACACCCCTGGGTTAGGATTATCAATCTTAGATTCCCCCCCCCCCCCATTTTTGTCTCATTGCTGATGTTTTCAACTCCCTACTTCTCATATTATTAATGGTATTTATTCGCAGTTCATTACAAATTTTTATTTTAAATGATATTTACATTAAGGATAGTGGAAACCATATAAAGGATATGTAATTAAAGGACATGTAATTAAAATACCAGTTAATCTCCTTTTCCCAGCCCTATAATGTGTTCCAGAATACAATGCTCTTTTGTTAAAATAATTCCCTTTAAGAATTTAACAAGGATATATTTTTCTTTATCTTTAGTCGGTCTCCTAGCATGTTATTAAATACGGATTAGAAATAGCATTGGTCTGTTGGAACCATAATTCTTGTAATAGGATAAATAGCAAATAATATTTAATTTCTTGCTTGTGAACCTCTGACCTTGTTGTACTGAGTTTAAGGTAAATACAAACAAGAATGGTCCTGTGGATTTTCTTGGGGAGATGGTGCCCGAGCCAGACAAGAGACTGAACAAGTCTCTTCAGAAAGAAAATTATTATCTTTCAGCATAAAGATTCCTTCTCTAGTGAAAAGAGTTTGTCTTGTTTTTTCTTAGTCTTTATTTTGTTTTTCTGATTCCCAGGAATTATTCCCTCTCCATATAGTTCTGTTTTATGCACCATTCTGTAATCTGTTCACTTATTATGGCCCCACATTCCCAATACAATATCTTCTTCCTACTACATATAATTATTTATTTAAAGTATCCTAATCTGTTTTTCCTTTTAACTCTCTCTGGCATCTTAACTCTTGAGCCCTTTAACTTGCCCCCCTGTGCTTCCCACCCATTCCGTTTCACAGTTACTTGTATGTATGACCTCAGTTGACTGGATACTGAACGGAGGCTGGGGTTGTCTGCTTCTTCTTTGAAGGCTGTAGCGCAGCAGTTCTCAACCTATGGGTCGCGACCCCATTTGGGGTCGATCGATCATTTCACGGGGGTCGCCAAGCAAGGCTGTCTGCCATTTTTTCCCCTTTTCCTGCGGGTGCCTTACCTCCCTTGGGCTGGGCCAGCTGGTGGTTGGCCTGCTCCGTCTCTGCCGCTTGCCAGCTACGCCTCGGCCGGCGCAGGGGGCGGAACCACGCATGTGCGGCGCTCCCGGGCAGGGAAAGTCCTTGACTTACGACCGGTTGGGTAGTCCTCGACTTACAACCGGTTTAGTCCTCGACGTACGACCGGTTTAGTCCTCAGCTTACGACTGGTTGGGGTCACGGGATTAAAAAGGTTGAGAACCACTGCTGTAGCGGCTCTCAGTGATTTAGTTTTCTTCAATTCTGGTGACTATGACTTCCGCAGGACCCCCTCCTGTCCAGTTCTTCATTTTGAAAGCTTTTTGCATCTGGAATGTCAGGCTTCCGGAATCCTCCTGCCTTTCACCAGCACCTTTAAGGCTGCCAAATGGCTGAGCTAGTTGCAGGGTCACTAACATTATGGTGGACATTCATGTAACTGCACCTTCTAGTGTTCACCTGTCATCTGTTCTAATCATAAATTCTCTTATTTCTGACGGAGTGGAAAACAACAGCCCAATCCCTAGTTTACTCCATCAGCTCTCTTCCCGCCCCCCCAGCGTGGCTTTAGCATTTAGCCTCCTTCATTTGTTCCTTCGCTTTTATTTCTGTATAATGCTGCTCACTGTTCCTCCAGGGTTAAGAAAAACTCTTCATCCCCCAAATTGTTCAGCTATTTCTGTTTTTTCTTTCTTTTTCTCTCTTATCTGTTTTTATGGGCCTTCTTCCCATTGGCTATCTGCTTGCCTTCCCTCAAGTGAATTTTTCCCACAAACACACACACAAACCCAAGAGGAAGGAAGGAGAACAGGGACTTGCCATTAGCCACTGTTTCCCCCTTTTACAAATGGACAGGGCAATACTTACATAGAAGTAAATCCTTCCAACCTCAGTTGAAAAGTAATCATAAAATGGTGATCTAAATTTTTTTGGGTGGGAGGAATTTGTGAGTACACGACTTATTTGCTCTTGTGCTACATGGCTTTAATGCTACATTATTTATTTTTATCTCGCTTTTATTATTTTTACTAATAATTCAAGGTGGCCAAATATCCAACATATCTTCCTCCTCCTATTTACTTCACAATAGCAACTCTGCAAAGTGGGTTGGGCTGAGAGAGAGCGACCGGCCCAAAGTCATTCAGCTGGCTTTCATGGCTAAGGCGGGATTTGAACTCATGGCCTCCCACTTACTAGCCTGGTGCCATAACCCTCAAGTCAGTGAGTGACATGTCAATGAAAGTTTTAGCATGTATATGCCAGTTAAGTCCTGCTACACAGTTTTAGTGGGTACAAAATGGTTAATAATAAATACACATGCATTTATACATATCCCCTTAGTTAGCTATCTGTAGTGCATTTCTGACCACCCCAGTATATAAATCTCCCCAACCATACCGTAGACTTTTAGGGCTGAATTTATATGCAGTGCATACTATACATAATTAACATTTGAAATGATAGTGGTCATATTTACTAATATCATTTATATCTATTTGTTATGTATTCACCAACTTGAATGTTCTGATTTTACTTTTGAAAAAGATACTTTTTATATTATAGTCCAGGCATTACAAGAAAGACCATAACAAATTTATATATTTCATACTTATTTCATATGTGTAAGAAGAAGTGAATGCTTCTTTTTGTAGTTTAGAATATATAACTAAAGAATAGCAGCTAGTTAATACGTTTATTCATGTATAAATGTAATAAAACTCATAGTTGACAGCTAGTGTCTCCTCTTCCATATCAACTTCTCTGGGCCTTGACATAACCTTTTTGGCTAGCATCGTACGTTACACCATTTACAACCATTTACAACCATTTTAACTGTTTTGCTGAATAAACTACAACTAGCAGCATTTGCCCAACAGGTTACACTATAAGCCAAACATGGCCAACCCGAGGACTAGAAACACACGCCAACTCAAAGTATTTTTTTTTTGCAGCCTTTCCTTTAATTAAAATTAAATTAACATGAAAATTATTGCAAACTCTTAATTTTATGATTGCAAGGAGACTTGAATCTTTATCATTGTACATTTTTATTCTGAAATAATCCTATCTTCTGTTTAGCTGGAAAGGTCTAGAGTTGATCCTGACAGGAAAAATGGTACTATTTTAGCTGTCATTTAATTATTATTTGTCTGGAAGAAATAAGGGAATAATCTGCAGCAGAGCAAACTACTTCACTGACACCACAATTATGGGAGACTTGGACTATATGCATCATGCAGTAATGGTTGAACATCTTAAAGCCAGTAGTCTAATTAAACTTCGTTTTTGCTGTAGGCTGGCAGTGATGGGGAAAGTATTGGAAACTGCCCATTTTCTCAACGTCTCTTCATGATTCTCTGGCTAAAGGGTGTTGTTTTTAATGTTACCACTGTGGATTTGAAACGGTGAGTTATAATAACTTTTCTCCATTTATTTATTTTTAATATTTATTTATTTATTTTTAATATTAAAGCTTTTAAAGCTTTCAGGCCCAGAAATTATATCCCTAACTATTCAGAGAGGTACTTGTAAACTTTCACTAATTCCAAGTGACTTCTGATCAATTCTTTCACTGTCATGAAATAATTGCATGTTTTTGCCATCAAAATTGGTGAAAAGGTGCAGCAAAACCTGAAACTGAAATGGAAGAAGAAACTGAGAAATTACAGGAGGAATAAATTATGGATAAAAGGAATAAAAGATATAAAGGAGCAAAAAAGCACTAGGAAGATGCTTAGAGTTATAATTTATTTATCTTGCTATATTTCCAGTATTTCTATGCTGCTACAGTTACATATCTCCAGACAAATCATTTTTAATAAATAGATGTAACTCTCTTTTTCTCTCAAAAAAAAAATAGCCCATTGCCAATCAGTTAGGAACAGAAGCTTAGATTTTAGCTTCCCACGCCTGCTAGAAACGCCACGTATGTCCTGTTTTGTAAAACATGACTAGAATGAGGGCTAGCAACATATTGGGGGAGGGCAACGTATTTTGAAGGTCAGGGTGATGATAGAGAAGTGTTGGTTTTGGACTCCAATCCTTCACCTCCTGAACTGAGTTCTGCAACAAAGCATTAACCCCTACCTGTCCAACTTGGGACTTGGGGGCCTGAGAAGAGGATATTAAAGGCTTCTCAGTGTTGGCCAATGTGTGGGAAAAGAGTAAGGAACATTTTAGGTATAAATTCAGAACTATATCTTTGGTCTGTTCACAGAGTGTCTGTTTTGGCTGCCATTCCAGAATTACCATAAAGATTTAGTTCCTAGCCATGCTTGTTCTAACTTGGCGGGGAAAAAAATAGGATTTTTTTTCCAAAACACTGACTATTATCAAAGCATTTTAACCTCCTTTAGTGCTGTATGACAGATCTCAAAATGACTGTTTTGGAAAAATGAGACTTCAACAGCGCCATTGAATGAGAAATGGTTAAACTTCCACAAGTATAAGGTTTCAGGCAATTTCAGACGATCTCAAGAAATATAATAGTTTATTAACACAATACAGTTTTTAATTGATAAGGTACTGGTAATCTATTTCACAGTTAACTTTTATCAGCATAACCAACCTATCTTTCCCTTCCTCCCCCACCCTCCACCTCACCCTTATTTAAATTCTGTATCAGAATAGCCTTTCTATGTGTCTGATGAAGAGAGATCGGATCACTAAGCTTATGCCTTTTAAGAAAATGTGTCAATAGGAAAAGGTGCTACCAAACCTCTGATTTTTTTTGCTTTCCTCCTATAATGTCTGATTTGTTATGGTGTCAGGACGTGACATGAGTACTGACATTGTGTTAGTCACTTTCCCAGTCAGTTCATTACTTCTGGATACCATCAGTTCTTGGTTCCAAAATGTTTCAATGAAAAGAGAAAATCATAATTTTTGGGTCCTCCCAGCTGCCATGAAGAGAAAGAAAACCATGTTTCCCTATTTCTTTTCCCCCATGTTTCCCAGAAAATACTGAAAAATATATAGTGGATTGTTTAGAGTTGCCACCATCTAAAGCAGACATGTCAAATACAAGGCCTGGGGGCCGGACGCGGCCCGCGAAGTGGTTTCATGTGGCCCACGAAGCCATCCTGGAAACAGTGAGGGAACGGCCCTTGCTGCCTTGGCCCTGGCCCAGGCCAGCCGGGAGCCAATGTACAATTTTGTGGTGACCATCTATGCTGAAACGTATTCAGTCTTAGCTCCACAAGGCCGTCTAGAAACAGCGAGGAACCAGCCCCTGCCGTGTTGGCCCCGCCCCCTGGGTGCATGCTGGGGAGGTGTCACCCTTTGTGAGGAATGAAGAAATGGACCATGCCTTGGTGCTTGTCCCGGTCCCACCCCCTTCTGCCAGAGACCCTCAGATCTGTCCCACTCCTTCCCAGCCCCCACAGGCACCCTTGACGTGAATGATGTAGAGCTGGCCATGCCCACCCAGTAGGCCACACCCACTCCATCCACGTCCACCCAGTAGGCCGCACCCACCCGGCCCCCCGAGGGCAACCACAATGCTGATGCGGCCCTCAATGAAATTGAGTTTGACACCCCTGATCTAAAGTGTCAGAGGGAAGCTTAATCAACCTATCCTTTCTTTAGTTGGTCAGAATGCTGAGAGAAGACATATTCTTCCAAAGCCATATTAGGATTGCATCTTTCAATTTCCACAAAGAAGAATTGTTTTTCTGTTAACCCGTTTGTAACTCCTTGAGTGACATAATTGATAAGTTTTGCTAACTCCCTCAACCCTAGGCTAATTAAGCGGGTCATACAGACAAGGAACACATTTCTATTTAGTCTGAACTAAATGTTATTTACTTCCAATAAATGTACTTAAATACTACATTGGCTATAACAATTTTAAATTCCAAGAAAGGTAGCTGAACTAAAATGCAATAATTTATACAGTTGACCAGCTTTTGTTTTCCTCAAACGAGATATTTCTTTTTTGTATAGGAAACCTGCAGACTTACAGAAATTAGCTCCAGGAACAAATCCTCCATTTATAACTTTTGATGGTGATGTTAAAATAGATGTAAATAAAATTGAAGAATTTCTAGAAGAAAAGTTAGTACCACCAAGGTATAGTATTCTGTTGTGCTACGATTAGTTTCATATTATATAGAATGAGTGTTGGATATTCTTAAACCATTGGGTATCAAGAGATTGTGGATTGAAAAAGATTAAAGATGGCTAATGGACAGGTAAGGGATATGAGTGGCACAGACAGTTAAGTTCTATTTCAGAGTTTCAGATAAAATGCTGAAAAATAATGAGATGGCATTAAATTCTTATGTATTGAAATTTTCAGATATCCTAAACTTTCACCAAACCATACAGAATCTTATTCTGCAGGAAATGATGTGTTTGCTAAATTTTCTGCATTCATAAAAAATACAAGGGAAGATGTCAATGAACGTAAGTATTATAAACTTTGTATCATTATTAGTGGATATTTATAATGTTATTTATTGATATATTTGTATTTGGCACTTGTCTTGGCTTTTTCATGTGAAGAAACTTTTGTTTCCATTTTCCAGTCCCATATATCCTCCCCAATCCAACCCCCCTCCCCCTAAAAATTTGGATAAATATGTAAAGAAAAGTGGAAATAGTAGTCTAGGACATAAGAATACAATATAGTAGTTATACTAGTGTAGCGCTACCTCCTCAGAGGCCGCCAATGCCCAGGCCCTCCCAGCCACGTCCCCCCTTGTCCAGCCTTGCAGCAATGTTCTTTAGAGATCGATGAGATGTCTTACAACCGGAGTTCACGCAGCATTAATGGGTGGCAGGCTCTTCTTGTTGAAGCAGGACTTTCAGGCACAAACTTAACCAGTCTCAGTGGTTGATGCTCTGAAGATGTATATAGCAACTCAGGGCTGCTTTAGCAGCAGGAATAACAGCCCCCCCGAGCAATCGTTCAGAATCCGATGAAATGGGGGGGGGGTAAACCCCGGCTCCAGATGGTAACAATAACAACGACGGCCAGTATGTTATGGCAATGGCTCATCCCCCCAGGGCAACTCCCCCCACCATGTCCCAGCACCTATGCCAGCAGCGATGGCCACAGTCCGGATGCCTCCAAAGTCCCCAGCAACAGTTGGCACCACCAGTCTCTCTCCTCCTGGTGCTTCTTCTCTAGGATTCTTCTTCAGGTTTCAGGATTCAAAACCACCCCCCTCCCTTACTCTTTATTATTAAAATCCGAGGCTAGAAACCGCAGCCAACTCCCTTACTTCACACTCTCACTTGCCTCCGTCTCAGATATCCTCCCACGGAGGAAACAATAAAACTTCACTCTATCCAGCCTCTATTTAAAATACCCTGGATAGAAAAATAAAATAAGCTTCCAGACCTTCTCTTCTCAACTCCAACCAACCAACAACAACCCCCTCCTTCTCCTTTCCTTCCCTTTTCTATCCTTCCTCCTTCCACTCACCCCAGCCACACCCAAGCCAACTGCAGCTGTCCCAATCTTCCCCTTCCCAGTCAAGCTCCTGCAAGCACTCTCAGGCAGTCCCCGCTACACTAGCAAATTTATTGGACTTTAATCTATGCTTTTTTCATAGCAAGAGAAATGAAAGCATAGAAATATATATTTTGAATCTGAGAACACTGCTACAGTTTCGATAGTTAGCCGTGTTTGGTATCTATATCTATTAACTGTGAAAAATTCAGAATTGCAAAGACCAAAAAGCAATCATTCTATTTGCATTAATAATTTTTTTTGCAGAACTTTCAGATTTGTTTATTTCCATAGGCTTCTGCTAATGTAGCATTTAAGTCACAGATCCCTTACAAGAAAAAAGTACCTTGATTTACAGACCTCCACAACAACACTCAAAATTCTTTTTTACATATGAAGTTAGGATTGATCTGGGTTGCGTGACTCTGTACACATGCTTCCAAGTGTTCCAGCATGCCCAGTAGCCTAAGTAAAGAGAGTTGTGGATAAACTAATAGAGTTTTAGCAAGGCCTAAATATAGGCTGTGGCTTCTGGATTTTTTGTTTGCTTATTTTTTGAGTCACTGACTCAGAAATGGATGGGATGTGTTTCTGTTCCGATAGGATGATTCAGGAGGTAGTGAGATAATTTTCATTGCCTTATATTATCTCTTTCACAAGTTACCCTTGAATTAACTTTCAGTGCCCTGTTCAAGATGCCTTTCTATTGCCATTTATCTTACTCCTGCCTAGATTACAGTCTTTCAGCAATATGCAACCTTGGTTACAGCTCCTGGGAGAGAAGAGTGCTTGGTTGCAAATTTGTCCCAATGCTATCTTATCATTATAGCTAGCCAAGGATTTTATATGCAACAGCAGCTTCAAAAACACTCCTTTATAGTAATTTATTTTATTTGCTTTTCTCTTACCCCTACTTTTATTCATTTACTTTCTTTTCTAATTAGTAGCTAATGTTCTGTGGCTGCTGATCATATTTCCTTTAGGTTATTAAATGTTAAGCGCTCCCCTTCTACCTGATTCATTCTCCATTTCACTACCTGAATTTACCTATTTTTTTCTCCTTTATTCTGTTCGTTACCATTAAATTTTATCCATTTTCGAGGCTTCGTGGTATCCATAGCAGAACATCCAGATTCAGCCATAGTTTCATTCCATACAGCATTAACCTTGTGAACTCTCAAGCTTCCTCCTTCCGTTATATATTCAAGATGGACAGTATTTAATATTTATTTGCTACGTACATGTAGGGATGTGGGTCTATACATATGTTGTTCATAGTATGTTTAGGTGTGCGTCATGTATGTGTTTCACTTTGAGAGTGGGCAACTAAATTTCATTTTTGATGTGTGCCGTTGTGCCCACAGTAAAAAAATGACAATAAAGGTTCTCTTCTCTTCTCTTCTCTTCTCTTCTCTTCTCTTCTCTTCTCTTCTCTTCTCTTCTCTTCTCTTCTCTTGTCACTGCAGTCAGCTCAAATTCATAACGCAAGGCCTTGGTCCCACTGTTCTGAAAACTGTATCTTCTCCTTTCTCCCATATGGGCAGCTTTGCCACTTGTACGGTGCACATGTATGGAGGGTTAAGTAGGATCGGCAGTATTTTTTCAAGTTATTTTCTCAATATCTTTCTATTACAGCAAGTATCAAATCTCTCCCTCAAAGTATGCAGACTGATCTTTCTCTTCATGGTTACTGCTGTTTTGGCTACCTAATTATCAGTGAATAAATAGTGAATTCCATTATTCTCCTTTTTTCATTCTAGATTTAGAAAAAACACTGCTTAAGGCTTTAAATAAACTGAACAATTACTTAAATACCCCCTTGCCTGAAGAAATAGATGCCAATAGCACTGAAGACATCACCGTTTCCACAAGGAAATTCCTAGATGGTGATCAACTCACATTAGCAGATTGCAATCTCTTGCCAAAGCTTCATATCATCAAGGTTTGTCTTTTTTTCCCTTTATGTGAAAATGAATAATGCATGCAAGAATAATTCCTCCTTTATATTTATTTCATAGTGAATACTTCAAACTATGTTTGCATGTGTGTTAATGAAGTATTTATTCCAATTTGTCATATAAACCATATTCAGAAAATTATGTCAACTCAGATTTGCCTCGCATTTAATATTTTAAAAACCCTTACTTTAAAACTTGAGTCTATTTTATCCCTTTAATTCAGGCCAAACAATTAATGAAGACCAATGACCAAAAACTGTGAATGTTCTATTTTTTCCAGATTATGTGTTTTTCAAAGAGCAACATCTAAAATACCTTTTAGTGCTACATTAGAGTTCAGTTTGTACAATTTTCTATCACCATATTTTTGTTTTCTACCAATTACATAAGAACAGTACTCTATTGATAATGTCTTTTTTCATTTATCTTTTTTTAAGGTTGTGGCAAAGAAGTTTAGAAATTTTGAATTTCCATCTGAAATGACTGGTATCTGGAGATATTTGAATAATGCATATGATAGGGATGAGTTCATTAATACATGCCCTGCAGATCGGGAAATAGAATATGCCTATCTGGATGTTGCAAAAAGAATGAAATAAATCAAGAATGTTCAATGTCTTATATTTCTTCCGTGTTTTTTTTAAAAAGAAGTCAAAAGCAAAGTATCCATTCATTAGCAAGGTTAAAAAAATTAAAAAATGGACAATTTTCCTGGGCTAATTATTTTATTAATCTACTTATTACAATGTATAGTACAGAAAAGTGTGTGTGTGTGTGTGTGTGTGTGTGTGTGTGTGTGTGTGTGTGTGTGTAATTGTGGATATGCATGTGAACTAGACGTGTTGTATGTTAGGTTTCATAACAACTAAAAACATTCACAAGAAAGTGACATTTACATTATATAATAATTATAAGTGTTAGGCTTCTGGTAATTATTTTCCTGCATCACAAACATGAGAGGTTAGGTAGAGCTAAAATTTAATGAACTTAACTGAAGCCATATACCTTTGCTATCCTTCCAGATCTAATAAGAACACTGAAGAATAGTTATGTATGTTGTTCTGCATATAAATTATAATTGCTTAAAGTCATCCAATTTTATACATTGATAATAGGGCACAGAGGATTTGATACACTCCAGCTTCTGTGGCATTGGGAATAACAACTAAAAGATCTCAGATATGTTTACATAGCATCAGGCACCATAAAATTAAATGTAAATTAATGAATACAACATAAATGCTTTATTTTTAACATTTTCACCTTTGATATATGACAGTGGTGGTGAACCTATGGCACACGTGCCAGAGGCGGCACTTGGACCCCTCTCTGTGGGCACTTGTGCCATTGCTCCAGCCCCGCCTCCCCCTGCAGCCCCCTCCTCACTAGCAGCCCCCTGGAAGAAAGTCGCCCCGGGGCACGGCCCTCATGGAGCAGCACAGCCAAGGCATAGCCGGGCAGCAGGGACAAGACTCCGCCCTCGCGCCCCATAGCGTGCAGATGATACTGCGGGATGTGGGTGGAGGGCGTGGCTGCCATGGCGCTGCAGGGCTGCCTGGGCGATTGCGGCGGGCCATGGAGGCAGTACGTGGCCCTGCGGGTGGGCGGGGCGGGTGGGGCAGAGCAGGCAGGGTGGGAGGCGGACCGGGGGCGGGGGGTGGTTTTGGGGCACTCAGTCTCTAAAAGGTTCGCCATCACTGATATATGAGATTCCATTATTTTCTTTTACCATTCCTGGAGGATTTCAGCTTTTTCATCTGAAATTTATATATTAATGCCAAGTTCTTACTATTCCTTTGGTCTAGCGATTAAGGTACCGGGCTAGAAAGCAAAAGACCATGAATTCAATGAGACCAGCTGAGTGACTTTGGGCCAGTCACTTCCTTTCAGCCCAACTTGGCTCACAGGGTTGATGTGGGGAAAATAGGAGGAGGAATGTCTATGGAGATTCTCTCTTTTTTAAAATAACTTTTTATTAATTTTCCAATGTTACAATTATATCTTTGAAAAGCAACGTGGTGTCTGAGTTACAATAGTTCCATTACATAGAGGTATTATTAATACAAATCTCCAACTATTACAGCCAATATTTCTTCTCTTTTTTCCCTTAATACATACTGGGTGGGTTGTCTAGTCTTTCTTTAAAATTTAAGACTTGGAAAAAATAATGACTTTATACATCTATGGAGATTCTCAATCATCCGGATCATGGTTGTCTCAAAGGTGCTTTTCAAAAGGCAACTGGACTTTGTTGGTTTTTCCCCCTGAAAACATTTCGCTTCTCATCCAAGAAGCTTCTTCAATTCAAGGAAAAAAAACAACAAAGTCCAGTTGCTTTTTGAAAAGCACCTTTAGGATAGGAGGAGGAAGGTGTTGGATATGTTTGCTGCCTTGAGTTAGTGTAAAAATAACTGAAAAATTAAGGTGGAATACAGTAAATAAGTAAGTAAATAAATCATCTTGCAAATGATTGGGCAAGTTCATTTTGGCCTTATTTTATTTTAAATTATTTGTTTATTTGCCTAGATGATGGGAACGCCACAAAATTTTTGGTGCCTGCAATGTAGGAATTGCATTGGCAATTTGTGATCTGTTGTCTTTCATTCATTGAGTTCCAACCACAGATAGTTGCACCTGCGCACTTGTTTTACTGAGTTCTATATCTCTTTAGACCATTCTGGTAGCAGACGTAAATGCCCATTTTCGTATTATGTGGCATATAATCCCAAGCACTACTCCATCAACTTCCAAGTATTTAACAGTTCATTTACCTACATGGCAGATGTCAAAACTCCTAATCCTACTGTTGCCTGCAATGGAAGTTATTCTTTAGTGAGAGAAAGCCAGACAGCTACTGAGACGGCCTTATTGTTGAACTCATAATCCCTTTGACTATGAGGGTACATTTTAAATGGATGCGTAGATTCCTGTTCTCATTCAAATGTGTTACAGTCTTTGTTTTGTTTCAGAGCTATTGCCAAATTGAGTCTTTGAGTGAAGTCTTATAAAGAAGAAATTACTTCATTTTCTCTCAAGATACTTGGAATAATAAAACAAATGTTGCTTATGTAAAATTCACCAAATATGAACAGGATTTTATGGAAAAAGAAACTCTTTAATTTCATATTTGGAACACAGAACATCTTATGCAAGGTTTAATACTTTGACTTAATAGCAAAAAGAAGCTACTATGAATTCTCTATAATATTTGCATCGAGGACTTGTCAGAGATATATTCACTTTCCATTAACTTTGGTTTAATTCTGTGAATGCAGCACCCACCCTCCAAATATTTTACTTAAGTAAACCAGCTTCATTACACAAGGCATATAGCTGGTTTGGTGGTTCACATTCAATAAGAAAAATGTTTTTAAAAATCCATAGAGGTTACTAAAACTGAATTCGCTGAGTACATTGTAGTAGCTAGGAATTACCTCTATGGCTACCAAGAAATTTTACCTCAGTAATGGAAGTTGAGATCTCTATTTCGTTTCCATTTTTTACTACCAGGATAACATTTTTAACTTTTGCATTTTATACTCTTATTTTACACTCATGATTAATTTAACACTTAATGAAATTATTTTTTCCTTCCCCTATCTGCAATCAAACCAAGATTTTGTAATGGCAAACAAATTTAATAAATAATAATAATTCAATCTTGAAGCATATATAAACAATACAATTAAGTATTGTAGTTAATATACCTTATATATTTGAATATAAAATATATAAATTAAGATTTAAATATGTTGATTGGTATTTTAAGTTTGTACTTACTAAGTCTAGGGAAAGGGAAGAATTAGGAAACCATTTGCATCAAAACTATTACAATTAAATATATGTGATTGATTTAAATAGAAGCATTAGCCATTTGCTTAATATTATTTCTAGGTTCAATATCATTTCAAAAAGTGTAACCATGGTTTATGGTGAATAAGAAGAAGGACATTATGCTCTTACTAGACTTATAGAAAAAACTGAGCAGTTCATTGTACAAGTTACACTTCTTGAAAATAATCTTTTATTAGTTTGTTTCATAATCAGAAATAAGAATGATAAAGCATTTGAATCAGAATATTTTTGGAGTAATTTTAGTAAAAATATAAAACGTTCATATAAAATTCAGCTCAAAGAAAACTACTGCCACAAGTAGCTATCCAATTCCTGCTAATCAAGTACCAAACCAGCACCTTGTCACTTTGCAAGCAGTTTACATAGCCATTTAGAAGTAAAAACTGATTTTTTTAAAAAGAAGATTTTGAAAGTTGCTTGTGGATTCTCATGTCCTGTGTTTTATATTCCTCATTATATAGTCACCTTGCAATACTTTTTATTCCTGAACAGAGATGTTTTAACAAGGCTCAATGATTGATGACTTTCCTAATGTCATCTGACTTAACCATGTCCTGGTCAAAGCATTCTGCTATATTTACTAATTATTGCATTTTTCCAAACAGTATTAGCAAAATAAGTATATTAGCAGTGCTACTGTTCTTACTACTGATATAGTGAATGACAGCATCTCACATAGCAAAGAAATATAGTTTTCCAACCAAAATTTCATGGACCATAATACTGTATATACATCTGTCATGATACCATTTAAGGCACAAGAGCCTGAAAAAATCTATTTTCCAGACACACAAAATTCCACGCACACAATTACAATGTTATACCAACACCGAAAGCTATATTTCTCAAAGTTCTTGATATCTGTGAATTTTGCAATATTAGCTTTTTAGACAGGAGAAAAGAGATGTTTGACTGGCAGACTGCAACCCTTCTCGAACATTGAAGCTGCTCCTGCCAAAGAAGCAGAAAGGATCAAGATAATGGTTCAAGGTTCAGAGATTTGTGCATGGACTTGGAGTGGTGTTTAGATCACATTGCACAAATATTAAAGTGTCAAGAACATTAAAATTACGGTGCTGCAACTGAATAAAGAAAAAAAAAGGGGGGGCTAGTAATTTTCTGAGACTAAGTCCAAATTAAGCAGCAAGAAATTTAAATTTGGGATGAATAGAAGACTAGAAAAATATATGTGTATAGGCCAAATCTATAAATCAGATCTATTTTGGACATAGATTTGTTGCATCTAAAAGCAGCATGTGGATCAAAAGAAGTGCTATGGATAATAACATTCCAAGCTACAGACATACAAATTATTTAGATCAGTGGTTCTCAACCTTTTTAATGCTGCAACCCCCAACTGGTCATAAGTCGAGGACTAAACTGGTCGTAGGTCGAGGACTAAACCGGTCGTAGGTCGAGGACTAAACCGGTTGTAAGTCGAGGACTACCCAACCGGTCGTAAGTCGAGGACTTTCCCTGCCCGGGAGCGCCGCGCATGCGTGGTTCCGCCCCCTGCGCCGGCCGAGGCGTAGCTGGCAAGCGGCAGAGACGGAGCAGGCCGACCACCAGCTGGCCCAGCTTAAGGGAGGTAAGGCACCAGCCGGAAAAGGGGGAAAAAAATTGCGGACAGCCTTGCTTGGCGACCCCCGTGAAATGGTCGATTGACCCCAAATGGGGTCGCGACCCATAGGTTGAGAACCGCTGACTAAGATATTCTAGGCATTTCCCAGTACCTTCTATGGAT